ACCCATGTTCATAGCAGCACAGTTTGTAATAGCTAAAGCTTGGAAACAGCCCAAATGCCCATCAACTGGAAACTGGATAAAGAAGATGTTAAATCCATTTTTCATGTCCTCTTGTTGTTTTTAAGGTGTCTCTCATTAACTGATCACTAACCACAGCCCTGTCATGTAGGTGATACTCTGACCTCACATTAGTCACTTCTGCTGTCTATATGTTCACTCATACTTTTTAATCTGCAGGATTTCTATTTGGAACTTTTTTGTGGACTCTCATTCTTTTTAATGCTAGGAATTCATTTGTTTCATCTCTTTCTTTACCTGAACTAGATTTTTATTAGAGTTTTCTCTAGACCCACCAATCATTTGTTTCATAGGATCATTATCTGTTTAGTTACATTTTCTTTGAATTTTTTAAGCATCTTATTGAATTGTTTTATTACCTTCACTGATACCCTTTTAAACATTTCTGCTGTATACCTTATGATTTCCTCTCCCTCCGTGCCCCCTATATCAGCTTTGGGGGAGTCGGAGTTTTGGGGGTCATCTCTTGCCTTTTCTTCTTCCTTTTTATATATATATATTTGTTTGATTGCTAGGATTTGCTGGTTGATAAGAGTGGGTAGTTTTGTTGTGGATATCCTCTGGGCATGGCTGACTGTTGGCCTTTTATTCTGTCCCAGGATCTAGCTACTTTGGCTTATTTGGGAGGGGAGGTTGCAACTTCTTTGGCCCAGTGCCCAGTTCTCCAGGAATGGGCTGCAACATTGTTTATGACTACTAGGCAATCCAGACATTGGCATACAGAGAACCAATTGACAACTGCGACTATGTTGCCTCCTCCATAGTAATAAAGTCAGTGACAACAATAGCATCACTTATGAGCTAGATACTGACAAATCCTAACAGCCATTCATTCTTAACCAAAGCAAAGAGATCTATGATTTTAGTATAGACTTAGGCAACCCAGATACTGACCTACAGTAAATTAGACCACTTTTTTTTTTTTGCTGGATGTAGGCAGCAGTGCTGGAAATCAGAATATTGGACTAAATGCTAATCTCCTTTAGATCCCTCCTCTGAAGGTTATACCCACCAAACCTGGCCTCCCACCACAAAATACAGGCCCTGTGATCTTCCTGGCCTGAGCTTGAGCTTCTCAGGAGACCTCAGGGGATCTTTGTCTAGCTCTGACCCTCTCCAAGCCTGTCTCCCAAGGCAGTATCTTACCCCGTCTCAACGCTGGTGTGAAACTCTGCTCCACTCTCCTCCAGATTGTTGGTTTTCTCCTCAATCCAGTTGGTCTTTTACCTGTCACCTCTGCCACCCTGTGCTGTGGAGAACCAAGGTGCAGAGACAACGAGGAGTTGGTAGTTTTGCAGCTGTCCTCCTTTCCCACGAGGGATGCAGGAAGCATTCCGTGGTGACAGTGGTGTGTGTGTGTGTGTGGTGTTCCTCTGCTCCTTTCCCACATGGGGCAGGCAAGACAGCTGGCAGTGGCAGAGCAGGCATGCAGTGCTCCAAGAGTATTCTTTAAGAAGTCAGCATGATTTCAAGACCTCTGGCCTGCCAGTGAACCCTGGTCATGATGTTTCACTCTTGAGTCACTTTTCAGATCAGAGAAATGAAATTTAATGACTTAGTTATGTGGTAAAGAAAGCATTGTCACTGGACTGGGAAGTCCCATCTTGACCCTTATCTCTGTCGTTAACAGGATGTCGGGCATTTAAAGACTTTGGATCTCAAGTTTTAGTTATAAAAATGACATTTAGACTACAAAACCATAACTAATTGCCTTTAAGCCATAAAATCTGTGCTAGGCCTTGAGCTGAGTACTTTACAGATCTGAAATCACTTTAAACCTGTGAAGATGGGGCTACTGTGTTTGTTATACAAATGAAGACACCAAAGAGTTTAAGTAACCTAAAGCAGGTCACATAGGTAGTAAATGATATACTTGATTCTACTTGAGAGCTTATTCTCTTATCAACAGTTATCTACTATCTCCTAGAATTATGAGAATGCTTCCAGATATGAAATCTGATTACACGATATTTGTTTCTTCCAACAACTTATCCATGAAAAGAAGGATATGTATCATTTACCACTAATGTAGAGATGAAGAATATAAATCTTCAAAGAGAAAATTAAGATTAAAGGTGCTTTGAGCAGTAGAGATGATGCCTATTTTCATGTGGTTTACAAGTATGAAATTGCACAAAAGAGACAGTTGTGTAATCAATATGGGTATCTTTAACAAAGTTTTCCTTGCCAGTATAAAGGAATCCCTGAAAAAGAATCAAACAAATAGCTTAGCTGATGAATTTCATAAGCTAAGTCAGAACACTATATTTTAATCCATTGCTATATTAAACAGGTTTCTGTATGTATTAGTATCTTCAGAGATAATATTTAATGACTTTTCCTTTTTATTTTGTTTTTGGTACTAGGGATCAAACTCAGGACCTTACACTTGCGAGGCAGGCATGGCGCCACTGAGCTAAATCCCCAGCCCTAATGACTTTTAACTGACTTTTTTCATAAACATTCTTCTAAGGAGTGAGGCAGGTGGTGGGTTGAACAGAACATTAAGGATATAGCTAATGGGTCGGTTAGCTATTAGATGTCTTCTGATTGCTGCAATTTTTTTTTCAATTTCAGAATAAAGAACTAAAAACCAAGGTGGCACTTTGGTCTGAAACTGCTAGGACAAAAGTATCTAAGGCTGTCTCTACAAGGTAAGATCTTTCTTCTCCCAGCTCCCCCTCTGTTTAGCAATGTTGATATTTAGTCCATTTGAGAAAGACTCCAATCCATTAATGCTTATGTAATCCTTTCTTTTATGTCTCTACTGGTTTGAATTCAAAACCGTATTAATATTATTCACCCTTGAATTTGTGAAGCCTAACATATCAATATTTACTGAATAAATCAATTAAAAATTGAGATACTTTTCCCCCTTTGCCCTAAAACAAGCCAAACCTCAACCTCAACACTTTCTCCAACTATTCCAGATAGTCTCCTGTATTTTCCTTCTTCTTCTGTTCATAATTTTTATGCTATTGAAAGAGATTTTAATCATGAGTTGTTAGTATTTATTGAAATTTTTCTGACATCCCTCAAATCTGGTAGATTGTAAATATCACCAAGTCAGGAGTAGGACTAGTTCCTTTTTTTCTTTTTATTTTCTGCATTGCCAAGAACAAGTATCTTTAACACCAACCTAGTAATGAATGATTTCTAACAATAATAGTGACTCAAGAAAGCAATGAAAATCATGGGTAAAACCATCTAAGTCGGGTTTTAATCTGGACTCAAATCTCATTTCCATAAACTCTGGGAAATTATCACTTAAAAGAAAACATAGCCTGTAATTACATGTATCATTTAAAAGTGATTAAAAACTTCCTGTTCTAGCAGCTTTGAAATTTCCCAGTCTGGTCCCTCTAGGGCAGAATCTCATTTTCTGAAACTTTATTCCGCAGAGTGCCTGAGGTGGAAAATCAGACTCGCTGTGATTAGCATCAGTCTAGGAATTCAGACAGATTCATCTCTCTCTTTACGACTCCCTGCAACAATGTCTCACTTTGCTAATGATGTATGTAGTTAGAGACTAGAGTTGAAACTATTACGGATGAAGTCCTCTAAAATTTTGGGGCCTCCAGGTTCCAAGTTCTTAACTTTTTGGCCACAATCACCACAATTTTTAAAACAGAAAAGAATGTAACCTCCAGAGGTTTCTAAGGATGTCCCCACTTCAGAAGCAGGGAGCTAAGTAGTCACTTCAGTGTGGGAAGAGGTGAAAGCTTTGGAATAGGAAGGCAAGTATGACTTCACAAGGGAAGGGAGAATGAATGGTCAGTGTTCTTCTTCCTTCCATGCAGAGACCTTTCCCAGGAGGTAGTGAGGCATCATGGTCACCTTGGGCACCTTTGAGCCTAGAGGGCATAGAGCCAGACTGGAGCAAAGGCACAAAGGAGAAAGGACTGGGCTCATCTATACTGGAGCTACTGTAGTACTAAGTGCTGCAAATCTGGCTATATGTAGGGAATGGGTTGGTGGGAATGATTTCTTTGGCCAGTTTTTAAATCTGCAGCTAATTA